ATTTCTAACTTACTGAGTCAATTTTCCTACTTCCTGAGTCAATTTTTCAAACTACCAATGCCTTATCAGTCATATATCAGGGACAACTCATAAATACATAGAATACACATAGTTTTTTTCAATACTGTTCGTTTTCTGGGTTACCTGCACAAACCGTTCCATCTATATCCGTAAAGGGTCATTCACTATGGGGTGTATCTGAGCTAATGGAGTCAGTTCTATGTGTCGACTATTTCTGCTATACCTGCAGTTCAGATTTTTCAACTTGTTGTCCAATGGGAAAAAAGCTGGTTTGGGGGGATGGATCGACTATGTCAGAAGTCTCTGTTGGCTCAGATAAACCCCAGTCTGAATGGCCCTTAAAGCATCTTCTGTTACAGCTGTGCGAAAATGCTTTTATACACCTTTTACTTGGAATAAAATTTGCTTCTAAGTTAATACATTGAAAAATTAACACCAAACCAAGCAAACACTGCAAAAATAATCTGGTTCAAGAATAATAGAAAAGATGACTCAGCCCTAGGGTGTTTGATAACTGTTATGGGACATTGCTTCATGGTCATGGGCAAGCCCACAAAATGCATGTAGTAGGCAACAGAAATAAACTGGCTGGAAAATAATGGACAGGAAAGACAACTCATCTCTTTTATATAGCGTACCTTTATGATATCAATTTTTAGCTCCATCGGAAAAGAACAAAAACAAAAAAAACTGTAGCTTCGAACAAATGCCTAACTTGACGATTGCTTTTGCAAACAAGAATCAACGGGATCCAACATTTATACTCACCAGCAAAAATGGATTATAAAACAGCTCGTGTTTTTTGGACATAATACTCACAGAAATGAAAATTTTCTCAGCAGGAAGGTTTGTAGAAACCAAAAGCAAATTTTAGCCCCTTTCTTAGGAGATGACTACCCAAGTGATTTTCCTGAAAAAGCTTTTATCCAAAGAAATAAAATTTTGTTTTCTAGCCTTTTATGGAAAGCAACTAAAATATGCTGTGAAATTATATTAGACAAAAATATGTTAATCATTAAGAAATATGTAGAAATAGCATGCTACATAAAAACTAGGCTAGAACTAGTTTATTCCAAAATTAAAAAGGAGAATAAGAAGTTTTTCAAGAAAAAATAACCTACATTTTATTTCCTAAGTGTGTCAAAAGGCACACTTAAGAACTGAAGCTGTGAAATTAAGCTGTGAAAACATTACTATTGCAATTGAAGGGGGTATATCATATATAATTTATCTAGAAATGACAATGATAACATACATTTGAAAGATGGAAATGAGATATACAAGATTCCTAAAATACCAACAAAAAATTGAGATATTTTGATTGCATACACCCCAGAAAATTGTTATATTTCTTCTTATTCATTGAAATTGGAACAAAAGGATTGATTTCAGAAAAACAAACGTGAAAAATTGCCTAGACTCTCTTCAGCAACTATCCCATTCCTTCAAGGTAACACAAAGCAGTAAGGAAATGATGTGGTTCAATTGCAAGATTCTATGCAGAAGAATGACAAAGAGAAAGAGATAATTTGAGCTAAGAACTTTTACAAAATCTTAGTTTGAACATGGTTATAGATGATTGAATGTTCTGATTAAATTAATCAAAATCATGAGTTTTTTCCCTGGGGAGGAGCAATTATTTTCTTCCAACAATAAATTTAAAATTATGCCTTTCAGATTTTATATTTTCAAAATAAGGAAAATAATACTGGAGACATCTGATTATCTGAAAAAAAAAATAAAAAAATTTTCTTGCAACACGATGGAGAAGAAAGTTTGACAACATAATTGAATAAATAATAAAAAAATAATTTTCATAAAGGTGAGAGATGCTATATGCAATTTTACAGGATGGTCATAAAAAAACTTCTCCGATGTATGAATCCATAGCGTTCAACAAATCAAAATGAAATTTCAGATGCTATTGTTGAATATATGCATGAGATTATGATGATTTAAAACAATACAGCTCTCACGGTTACGAAGAAATTTTGAAATTTTCGAATGGCAACACCCACTTTTTTCTGTGCAAACTGATCAATGCTTTGAGAAACCATAAATAGCATTGGAGCCACACATATCAAGAAGATTGCGAATGCAAAACTTTTGTGAAGAGCACTGTAAAGGACCAATGACGACACAAGGGAGAAGAGGGGAAAATCTTTTATTAGAATTACAAGTTTTCAACATGCCCACCTTCACAGATGATAATGCATTGCATGAGGAAGATTGTTGACAACAATGATGAATGCAACATAGCAGAAGGAATATGTATAACTTCACATTTTATGGGAAAAATCTCGTGGATTTCATGTGGACATCATAAATTTCAGATAACCCTAGAACCAGAAATTTATCAGAATGTGGTCAGGAAATTGCAGCGATCATCAAATTGCAAAGTTATGGGAGATGACTCTCATTACCAAAGTGCTGTTGCAGCACTTGCCGAAAGCATTTCGCGATGTGTAAAGGAGCATCTTACATCCCTAAAAGCTGCGACATCTCGATACACTGGAATCGATAAGTAAACATCCACAGAACAGAGTGCAGAAGTTTAAGGACTGTGGTTTTGGGTACATCCAAACTGTGGGCAACCCTTCTTGCAGTATGCAATGGACCAGCAGTAATCGCATTATGCACTTCTGCAACAACTTCAACAGAAATACAAGGTTGTCCGGATTGCAATCTATCACACATGCATCTAATTTCTTCAATTTTTTTTAACCAAACCACGCACAGTTCTTACAGAACATGATCCTTGTTTTAGCTTATGATTTTGCCAATAAGCTGACAGTGCTTCGGCAGTATTTTCCTTGTTCAGATAAAAGAGCTTTATCAATTCACCTCGTTGCTTCCCTGCAAATGTCATCTTATTAGCACGTTCAAACACCTGATTGAAGAAACAATCTTCTCACACTGCTTATTAAAGATTTTCCACAAACAATGCTTTGCACATGGTGTTCATTGATTAGTACTTCTACTCTATCTCTGAATTATGCAAAGTGCATCAATGCACCTTCTCTCTGTGCTGTGATTCATTCTTTACAATGCTCTTTTCTGAAAATGTTTTATGCCAGCAATTTTCATCATATGTGTAACGTACCAACGCCATTTATAGTTTTTCAATGCATTGATCAATTTGCGCAGAAAACAAGTGCGTTTTGCGAGTCGAAAATTTCAAAATTTTTTCACTGTAACTGTAACCACGAGAGCTCTGTTGTTTTATATCATTACAATCTCAAGCATACCTTCAAATAATACCTGAAATTTCATTTTGATTGGTTGAGCAGATAGGCCACTAGGAGTTCATATATCAGGGAAGTTTTCTTATGACCCTGTAGTAGTATCTCTATATATCTGCCAGGTATTAAAAGAGGAGGCAAAAATCGCTATTATTTGGTGGATATTAACAACGATAAAATATTGAGCAATATTATTTAGCAAACACAACATAATCTCAAAATTTTGGAAAAGAAATGAGTCAGGAAGCAAAATATAAGTATGAAAATAAATTACTTCAAAAAGGATTAAGTTTTGATGCACTTAGTTAATTCAGATTACCGTTAGGTTTTCAGATCATGCCCTTAGTTGTTAGAAATTTTAGGGAATAGTTATAAAATAAATCAAAACAAACTTATAAATAATATTTAGTTCCAAACTTTAGTACATAAATTTGTATTTGGAAATTAGTTTTCTGCCCACAAGCAAGATGCTAAAACCACATACTTGCAGCAAATAAATGTAAATGCCCAGGTCAGCTATAGTATGTTATCACCTTAGCTAGGTTAGCTAAACCTGATTGGTTTTTGCTAGTTTCCTACTTCATCTGCTGGCTCATGATCATGATGATGTGTTCTACGTGGGCATTTCGAAAAGTAAACATACAATAACTCGCATTCCTAAAAAAAAAAAAAAACACCACTTATTTAGAAAACGTCATTTATTAACTGGATTATTTATTATTTTTCAACATAATCAGCCCTGTTATCCAAACATTTGTTAAGTCGGTGCACAAGCTTTTGTATCCCACAGTCATAGAAGGTTGCCGCCTGTTGGAACCCAGCGCGCACACAGTTCGTCATGAACATCGGTCCTACCTTCAGAGAAATGACGACACCATTTCGTTACATTTTGTCGATTCATAATGTTCCCATAAACAGAAACAATTTCTTTGTGAATATCCGCTGGTTGCTGACCTTTTGCATGAAGAAAATGTATGACGGAGTGCACTTCGCATTTGGCGGGATTCTGAATTGGCGCAGCCATTTTAAACACGACCTACTCCAACCAGAATCAATGTTGAAATGCCGAACGACCGCGAGGAGAAAGCTAATGGTTCAAGGTTAACACCTGTGTTGCCAACTTGCTCACCAAAACTTTTCTTTTCCTCTAGCGTACGGTGTATCTTTACTTTTCGAAATGCCCTTGTACAATTAACTGCATTGAAAATTCAGGATTTTCTAGATCTGAGGATTACAAACATTACAACTGACTGCATGTTTTATATTTTAGTGCAAAAGATAAAGGTGGAATTCCTTCCATAACACAATCTGTTCATAAATTTATTAAAGTTGAGAATAAACCTAATAATGTAAAAAATACAAGCACAATAAATTTAAGGACTTCCAATCGCTGCATTGTATTTTTAAAGATAAAAATCACTACCCCCGGTCTGTTAAAAAAAAAAAAAAAAAAAAAAAAAAAAAAAAAAACTTGAAAAATAAGAGGAAACAATAAAAAATATATTTCATTCATCATTATAAGATATTAAATACTATGCGACTTAAATATTCAACAGGGAATAACATATCTTTAGAATTTTTAGGCTTAAATAGAACCATAAAAAGAATTTTCAAATAACAGAGCATTTAAAAAAATATTTAAAATTTACAAATGAATAAAAAACTGCTTAACACAAACTAAGAGACATTTGTATGCATTACTGAGTACACTTCATTAAGCCATAAAACATATATTACCTGTTCTCAAGCAAGTAACAGGATAGGCTGCCTGAGCGAGGAAGTTCGGATCCCCAAACATGTCTTCATATAGCACAACAAATTTAATTAAGGCTAACTCAGGACTATATATATTCCAGACAAATGATTCCTTCCACACAGGGTTTAAACCATTATCTTCTATAAAAAGAATCATCAATGAAATCAAATGAATTCAATATTTTCAAAAGTACAGCATATGATTTAATTTAAATAAAAAGATGTTAGGTAAGGTGGATAAATAATACCTAGCACATTACTCATGAAAAATATCATAAAAGTAGTTATGTTAATTGAAACAGCATCCAGATGTGTTTACCTTCCAATTACTGAGCCAAATTGTTTTGGATGGTAGTCACACTGGCTCCTGAATTGATGGTCATTCCATTTATATGTTCCATGAACCGTCCATTATTGCCACCACTCACAGCAGAAATCTGAAGTGTTTCAAAATGGGGCTTCTCAATTCTTTCCACCTCTGCTCTACAAGATGGCCATTAATTTGTTTCCAGCCTCCTTGCTGGGAAGCGGTCTTAACTTCCATGCCTTGGGATGTTCTACAGTTCTTTCATACGTGGACTTCATAACACTTTAGGGTTGCTTTTCTGTCAAGGCATTGACTTGCCTGGTTAAATCATCTAGATATCCAGTCACTTGATCCATTGGCTTCTGGACTTAAGTAGCCTCGTCAGATGGCGGTCTCTACGATTTGCTTGCTGAGTTGCTTTAGACCCTTGACATATGCTATTTGCAGGGATTTTACATCTCAGGTTCCCAAGTGGCATCGATGAAGTACTGCAAGGACAGAATTTCTCTTGTTTTAGATGGGCAATCTGAAAAAGTGAGATGAGATACCCTTTCAACATCCTTGGCAAGCTCCTGGAGTGTTTCCATGTGCTTCTGTTGTTGAAATTTTAACTGAAGCCTGCTATAGTCTTTTAAACATTTCTTGCCAAAGCACAGTTCCATCGTGCTGGACAGGGCTTTGAAGTCTAGCCTCTGGTTTTTGGGCACCATTTGAAGGATATCCACTGTGTCTGCTCCCAGAGAAGCAGCAAGATTGCAGATTTTAGCTTGAAAATCCTATCCATTTGCATCTGCCACCAAGTCTGAGAGAACTGAGTTGTTACAGTTACCAGGAGGTCTTTCAATCACGAGTGGCCAGCTATAGAAAGGGGTCAAGAACATGGGTAAAAATTTAAAACCATCAAAATTGCTTTCTGCTGTGTCTATCAATTTTTTTAAGCTGTCAACTTCCCAGATCTATTCCCAGTAAATGGTCAGTTCCAAAAATCCAATCCTTCAGAAACTCTTTCCCCGATTTGTTGTTCAACAGCAAAAACTCTTTCATTTGTTGTTTGACAGAAAAAACTCTTTCTTCAGCTTCTTCAACTTTATTTTCAACTGCGTCTGCCTTTCGTAGCCTCAATTTGTTTTCTATTATGACAGTAATTTCTCTTTTTATTTCTTCTTGACTTGCTTTCATCTCTTCCTTAACAGATTTTTGGCTTGCTTTCATATCTTCTTATTTTTATATCATAAGATAAATTTTATTTCATAAGTTTTTTACAACTTTACCGCCCATTCCATTTTAATTGGTCTATTAACATCCTTTCTTGAATCCATCTCTTCTTTAATGAAGTTGAGAGCCTCTTCCACTTTTCCTTGGAATGCAGAAAAGACAGTCACCAAGCTGTCTTAGTTGCTGTTTCATTGCTCTTGTCAGAGGTATTCAGTGCCACTTCTGAGACCAAAAATTGTTGCCTGCATATGGGTTCATAATGGATATAATGCACACAGAACCAATGACAACTTGATAAAATTGCTTTTTCTCAAAAGAAACAGTTTACAGTTTTGGAACTTTTCGCAAAAGCACTCGTATAGCTCTTTTCAGTATTACAGAACACAATCAGTAGTTAAACTTCAAACTACTAAGAAGGTTAAGCACAACTCAATGCAAAGCATATCTAAAAGGTGAAGCTCTCATGGGTATATCAATACTCTAAAGTCAGATCTGACCTAACAATGAAGAAATGATGCTCTCTTTGGTCTTACATAGTTTTCCCCCACCTGCTCGGAAATCTCTAATATCTTCCATTTCTTGCAATTACAATTACAGGTTAAAGTTACATATAAGGGGCAGATGTGGGTAAAGTTACATACAGAGGTATTCAGTGCCCCTTCTGAGACCAAAAATTGTTGCCTGCATATGGGTTCATAATGGATATAATGCACACAGAACCAATGACAACTTGATAAAATTGCTTTTTCTCAAAAGAAACAGTTTACAGTTTTGGAACTTTCCGCAAAAGCACTCGTATAGCTCTTTTCAGTATTACAGAACACAATCAGTAGTTAAACTTCAAACTACTAAGAAGGTTAAGCACAACTCAATGCAAAGCATATCTAAAAGGTGAAGCTCTCATGGGTATATCAATACTCTAAAGTCAGATCTGACCTAACAATGAAGAAATGATGCTCTCTTTGGTCTTACATAGTTTTCCCCCAGCTGCTCAGAAATCTCTAATATCTTCCATTTCTTGCAATTACGGGTTAAAGTTACATATAAGGGGCAGATGTGGGTAAAGTTACATACAGGGATCAATTACAGTGCCAATCATAGTTATACAGGGACAGGACCAAAATATCGCCAAATGGTCGCAAATTTTTCATTCAAATTCAAATTCAGTTTTGTTAGCTTCCTCTTCATGCCTTAACCCTAAACTATTACAACTGCCATATGTAAAATATACCAGTTTCTTCGATCATTGCCTCACTTCCAAGTAGCATTCAGTATATCCAAGTATCACACCACATATAGATATACGTGTGTGTGTATGCATAGAGTACGTATTTCTATACATAGAGTAATACAGATTTAGTGCAAAGACATAGAAAAGAAGACAGATGGTACAGCTGCTGGAGACTTGCTCTTCCAGTAAGATAAGAAACTGACGCTTCATTTTAAACTTAATTTGTAGAATACAGCTCAATAAAGCAATATAGGAATACAGATGCTGCTTGCTGTCCAATAGTTACACAAACAAAACAGTAGAACTATAAATACAGAGTTTCACAAACAGTTGAACTATAAATAGAGAGTAAAGGTGGAAGCTGCAGATAACATGATCATGAAGCAAAGACATGAGAAAGAAGACAATCCACATTACAGGTGTTCAATAAAAATAAAATCACTATATTTCTTACCACATGGAACACAGGAACTGTGAAAAATAACACCGAAATACAATTTCTAAAAGCATAAAACATAAATTTTGGGTGTTACATTTTTTTTGTTTTTTTGTTTTGGAAAAATGCAATTCTTAAGTCTTAATGTTAAAAGTTAACTTTCAGTGTTATAAATATTATAATAGCCTACTGAAGCTACAATTTCATTCTTAAGTAATTCTAATTTTTAACCATATATGAGCACAAGGCTCCAGTTCTCTATTAGCCTATCTGTAATAATAACATCAATTAATTAATTAATCCAAAGGGAAGCCAATCCTATTTAGCTGATTAGTCAGGGTTCATAGCCACATTTTAGTTAAAAAAATAAGCACCTATAAGCACTTTTCAAGCACATTTTAAGAAAAAATAAATACTTGTCTAACTTTGGTTATATGTCTAATTTAATTACATTATACACAACTGCATAACCTTAAAAGAAAAATTAGACTTGTAATTTAAAATATGAAAAATTCAGTATTTATTAAGAGAGAATGAGCACTCAACCATGGAAAACAATTACATTCTGTTTTTTTATTATTATTATTTTAAATAACAGTTCAATTTACAGAACTAGTTTACAATGAGAGGGGGGGAACTATGCAGAACTAAATTATATTACAAGATTTAATGATGGAATTTCTGCTCAAAATAGAGAAAATAAATAATAATAAGCCATATTTATTATATTCGCTCAGCACCCAAAAATAAATACAATTTATTTTTCCACTCATATTAATATTTAAATAATTTAACTTAAATTCTGAACATTTTCTAAATTTTCATTGTATAACAGTTTTTCCTTAACAGATGCAAGCAAAGTAATTTAAGTAAAACATAAGTAAAATAAGGAACTTTTCAGGAATCAGAAGACGGGAAATTGCTTCATGCAGTCATTCTTTAACAGTAAAAGCTTAACTAACTGGCATACTCGGATGTAGCCGTTCTTTAGATTTTTCAGCTAAATAATGCTTTTGACATTTCGATATGTGCATCATATAAAAAATAGCCTAATGGAACTGAAAAATAATCCGCTTAGCAAGCACAGTAAAACTCTTCTATCTCTGCAAAATATCGCAAATGTTATTGCACAATACGTGTGCCTTCTTAGTCCTTAATTCTTCCGCACATGATATTACACAATCAAAATCAATAGCTGCCGGTATTCAGAGAATACATAACTAAATAAAGGAAACACCCCTTTGCTTCGCCCGATTTTCACTGTCATGAGCCCCTGTAGCATATTTACCATTGAGCACGACACGTCGCGCTCTGCGCAGTATCCCTGCCATACTCATATTGATTAATAAAGAGATTTACAAATTTGGGGTGTTTTTCATTCTAATTTTGAACAGACTGCATTAAATTTCTGGAACAGAATCATTCTTCGTTTGGGTTGGTAGACCGCAGAACTTTTAGTCCTATTCAATCCAGGTTGGAAAGTGACCGCCCCCAAAACGTCTGCTGCTTGCTTTGCTGCAAACTGTAATGGTTTCAATATTCGAGATTTTGTGGAGAAAGGGGAGAACCCCCAACCTCCGTACTGTATAATGCATTGGGGAAAAAAATTGACTATTCAATTATTTTCACTTTATGCCATTCTGAATATTATTCCTTAGGAAAACTAATCTGTGTTCAACCCACTTACCCATTTTTGAAGTTTATCTATACTTAAGCAGTTACTGCAAATATATTATTATAAATATTCATACATATGCTCATACGCATACCAAACATAATAAACGTGAATATGAACAGACCACGCGGAACGAGAATGTAAATTATTAAAATCTTTATAGAAATTCAAATGTGTGTAGTATTGGGTGGGAGCAAAAGAATCTACCAGAATTTTCTACCGCTTTCGCAATTCTTTGACCAATAGAGCAATGTGCACCTGTCTGTACTCGCGCGCACCAAAGGTTATGTTAAAGCAGAGAAAGGAGCGAAAAGCCAAAGAACGTTTCTTTGGAAAAGCTATTTCTGGGAGTATGATTCACCATCTGATGTTCCATATAAGGAAGAAAAGTTGTTTATTTAGTTTCGGCTTTGGTACGGGGGGGGATGTGTGTTCGTTAAAAAAAAAGAAAAAAGCACCAAAAGCAAAAAATAAGCACTTATAAGGGCTATATTTTATTTTCAAATATAAGAACTTATAAGCACTTGTAAGGACTGCTACGAACCCTGTTAGTATATTAATCCCTAATGACACTAGGTACTATATTGTAAATTCTTGAAGAAACTTTAGTTCCTCATGTAAGGTAATGGGTTTTTTATGAACAGCAATCTTTTACATTACAAAAAACTTAAATCTACACAAATATATTATCAATTCATTCTTATTGGAGGTGGGCTTGACCATTTTTTTGCACATGAGATTAAAAGAAATAATTAATTCAGAGGTAAAAACACTCCTCTGTAATTCAAAATCAATGCTTTTTGAAACAAATACACATAATTATCAATTAAATAATTTACTTACACCAATCATTCATCACTACAAACACAAACCAGCATCACTGTTTTCACATATACTTTTTCATTTCCCCATATTCAATATACCAATAATTATTCAATATCATAACTCATTATTATAATCATTAACAATCATATGCATTATAAGTGTTTCATAGTTTTGATGTCACTGTAATCAACATTGTCATTTGTAGATAATTAGTACTCAAATGAGTATTTCAAATTATCTCATTCTCAAAATTAACATGAAAATTTTTTATCATGTTCTAAATCTACAAAAAACATGTTTTGATTACCTTCACTAACTAAAATGTTTGATAGTTGTTAAACTTAATTAATTTCTGCAAAATGACAAGTGAAAAGTAAATTTTAGTATTATAAAATCTTGTTTTAAAATGCTTTTTATAAAAACAGCATTGCATTATCTGATATCCAGTTTTAATGAGCAAGTTTGTACTTGAATGATGTCCAAAATATATCAGTGCACTGATTAATTATTTAATCATTTCACTGCACTGAAAAATAAGCATAATCTGACTACCAAGAAAAATAAAACTAAGCAAACTTGTAAAACATTATAAATTCAAATACCTGAGTCATTACATTATTTAAACAAATTATAGCTAACCTAAATAATCAGATACACATTTACAAAAATTTTACTGCAAAACAGAAACTACATAATTATACATACATATTATATTAAACGATAGTAATCTATCCTAGGTAAACTAATAAAATTTAAGATTAAATTACCTTTAGTCTTCGTTTTAAAACGGTTATTATCATACTCAGCTCCTACTAATTCAACTTCAATAAATGGGCTCACAATTCCCTTACTTATTTTCATTAGATGCCGAGCAGCAATTATCTATATAAATACATTCCAGAAATTACAACATGGTTAAATGAAAATGCACATGGTACTCAGTGTGCACAAAGGTACTCAGTGTAAGTTTTGAAATGATACAGCTATTATTTTCAGAAAGTATGATAATTTTTATGTCCACTTATTGGTGAACATAATAATACCATTGCAAAATTTGAATTCTGCACAAAACTAAAAATTACCATAAAATCACAAATTCTTTAAGCAAGGGCAATGAATGATTCACATTTTTTATCCCCTTTCAATTGAATTCAACCCCAAGTCTCTGAGTGTGAAATGTATGAACACATTTTTTAGAGAAGGGGATAATAATGCAAAAGATAGTTTACAGTTTTTAGAAAAGAATATAAATCTAAGTAGCATAGAAATCCATTAAATTTCAGGAAAAAATTAAGAAAACCATTTTTTATGTTTTTGTACATAATGAACTTTCATCACTGGCAAGTGTTTCCTGAATAAAACATGTTATCATTATTATTTGATTACTGTGCATAGCAAATTATAATATTTTTTATATAAATTCATATAAATTAATGAAAGATAATCATTCATTATGGTAAATATAAGACATTTACACATATCGTACACTGTCCTTTTAATAGTACACATAGTCTAAGCAAATAAGGTGCATATTATACCATATTAACTCAAAAAAAGATCCTGCAAATTTAGGGCAAAATTTTAGACAAAAATAGATGAATGTCTGATGAAATAGAATCCTTTTGTTTCTGATTAGCACAAAAGGCAAAAATAGAGTACAAATTTTGAAACCTATTCTTCATATATCCAGAATACCAGCAATGGAAAAAATAATAACAATATTTAAAAAAAATCGCCCCTACACAGAAAGAGTGAAAAAGTTTCAATTGATAATAAAGTGGGAATTCTTGATGAAGCATTACAACAGAACAATGGTGATTTGTAACTGAAGAAGAAATTATGTCTATCGACAGAATTAAAGTATCAGGGCAAAAAATGAAGGAAATTAAACCCCTTACATTAAAAGAAATGTTTAATAAAGCAAGGAAATAAATATTGAGCTTTTTGTGCGAAGTTTGATTCCATTTTAAGGTCATAAAAGCTTTATTATTTCATAAATCACTATTTTGTATTTTTAATTTCATAATTTATACCTGTGATCTTACTATATTTGAACTGATGATCTAATATCCAGAAAAATCTCGAGTCCAGAAATGGCAAAGTGCTGTCAAGTCTGGATTTTGAACTTTGTAAAGTATTATTTTATTTTTTCCGTAACACATACAAAGGTGTCAAAAGTAATGAGACTGTTACCACAAAACAATATACTGGCACTGTTATTCCTAGGATTTTTTTGGAAGAGTAAAAATACTCCTTGACTTTTTTAGGAGGAGTGAAATTCATTTATGAGGAGTGAAATACGGAAATAGCATAAACTGCATATACAGAGACAAATTTTCTATAAAAAAATACTTTTTTAATGGGCAAAATGAAATAGAAAAAAAAAATGATGCTATTTTGGTTTTTGACAATTATAGAATATGATAAGTATTGGTAGAAAATATTAAACATTATAAATAAAAGAATTTATTTTACATTAAACGTTCTAAATGAAATATTTATTTAATATTACAAATTCAATATCCTTTTCCTCTGATTTTTCCACAATGTTACAGTTGATTTCCTTACAATATCAAAACTCTTTCAAAATTAAAGTTACAAAAAACATTTATTCTTCATCACGTTACAATTTTAATCTCTTTTTCCCCTGATTTCCTTACAATATCACAGCTCTTTTAAAATTAAAGTCACAAAAAATATTTTTCCTTGGTTATATTACAATTCTAATCTCCTTTTCCTCTGATTTTTCCACAAGGTTACTGCTCTTTCAAAATTAAAATCCAAACAGCCGTTGACAAAGGGATAGTCGTAGCCATTTCTGCCAGGGCTGTAAATCCTGGATATAACAGTTCACCATCTAAACTTGATGAGAACAACAAATTGACAAACTGCTTAAATTTGAATTCTCTGTAGCGTGCCTAAAAACACTCTACTTCAAGGTGCTCTTGCTTTAACTCTTCTGCTGAAACACCCAAAACTGAAGTAGAATCTGGCCTATAATAATGTTTAATAACATTATCTAGGGACTCCAATCTTGATGATTCTGTTGTTGTAACACAAGAGGAATTCAACAAAACATCAAAATCCTGCAAAAGACGCATCTGCTGCAAATTAAATCTTTCTTGCAGATTCTCTATCAGTGCACTCAAAAAAGCATTTTTAGCACTTATGAAATCATTTAAAGATTTAGTAGAAACAGATAATTTAATATCTTGAACTCTATAATACCCATTATTACGAGCAGACTCTAAAAATTCCTTTAGATGAGTGCCATGACCTTCCTCCTTTTTCATTTCCTGCATATGATTAATAGTTGATTCTAGACTGTTAACCAACATGGAGAAGTCCACATCATTACTCTGAAAAATTCTACTGACTTTGTTCATGATCAGTAACACATGTCTAAAAAATGACAAGGTTGCTGCAAATGAAAATTGTGAGCATCGTTTAAGTGGTCTTGAGCCCTTGTCCATAGGATTGCTTGTGTTTCTGTTTGCAATTATGTCTAGCAGGGCAGGGATCACAGCATCATAACTGATATGACATGCATCAACTGCATTCCCAAGTGACAACCACCGAACAGCATTTATGTCTTTAAGAGTTATGTTTGGCTCATTTAACACATCTTGCATCAATTTCAGCTTTTCAATCCTAATATTGGACATGTGAAAATAAGCATACAATGAACCTAAAATTCTCTGGCAGCTTTGAAACAGGGATATTCCATCAGCAGCTTGGGAAACAGCTAAAGCTAAATTGTGAGCTTTGAGGGTATGATACCTGGTTTGTTGCAGTGATAGTGAGTCAGCATGGTGGCGCGTATTGCCAGCCCTATATTCGTCACGGAGAAGTCAGGCGAAAATGTCTCGGTGGTGTTTTGAGTAAGAAAAAATGTTATTTGTTGATTTTGGTGGGGCGCTATGCATTTTTTAAGCTAAACCTTCGTTAAAAATTCAATACGTGAAAATACGCCTGGCTAGTTTTTTAAAGCGTATTTCCGATTTTCAAGGCGTGAAATACGCACTCAGAGGTGTTAAAAAATATGTCTGTATACTGGCAATAAGGTGGGCATTCATACAATGGAGCAAGGCGCACAATCCATATGAAATGTAACTGCAAACTGCTAAAGTTTATCAGGTGTTGATCTATAACTTGTATTAGTTTATGTGTGCTAATAGTATATTTTAAAAATATAGCAATGAAATAGTGAATATTGTTATTCGAATTATCTTTGAAACTAGTGGCAAGGCAATGTAAATGTACAGAAAGCATGTCTTACCAAAAGCATAAGTTTCAGATGGCTAGGAAAGCAGGCAGATGAACTGTGTTCTGAAAAACCTTTAACAGCAAAAGAACATACAAATGTCAAAAAGAACAGAAAATAAACAACAATATCCTGAGGTGTTTGACAAGCTATTAATAGCTTGTCAAAACACAGCAAACAGCCAGATGCTCCATCATGACATTGTCCTCAGTAACTGGATTACTAATCACCAAATCCTTTATAATAAGGAGAGTTCCAGTAGTGCCTCAGTCCCTCAATCATCAGTCTTACAATTAATATCCCAACTTCTTTTACCTAAACTAAAATTTGCCTTGAAATACCATCATTATGGTAATCTACACAACTACATTGAAGTGATAGACCACTTGAAAGTTATGCAAGATGACTTTCAACAATACTACAAATATTGTATACTAGTGTTTATACCTTTTGCAGGATCATTTTTTAGAACTATACATTGCTATGGCTAAAAGAAGATGAACAGCAGACAGTGAGTACTGGCAAGCTATTAGATGCATTGAAGCAGAACAATCATTCAAAGATGGTGTTCTTTTCTTTGCCACTGACCATTCGGTAATTTCTCAAGTGTGTAAACGTTGAAAACAAGTCAAATGGTTGTCTGGATACCTGTGCTGAGTTGACCAAGAGTTACGACCCCTTCTGAAGATTGTTATATTGTGAAAGAAGACGAGAATCAACAAGTGACCTCCATAACTGTTACAGTCATGGTTGAAGCATAAATTGGCAACAGAATATCTGCTAGCACTATGTGCTGAAGGCATCACATGAAGGCCTGAGTATTAAGTGTTTGTGTTCCACTAAATGCCCATTCCGTAAAGGCAAGATTAAAGTGGTATCATCAGCATTTCAATCAGACTGGGAATAATGTACTGTTCATGGAAGAACCAAGATCTATCCTAGAACTGGTAGTTAAGCATTTAAGGATCTAGATGGCATGTGAAACACGGAATAATGCCAAAAACATCATCGAACAATACGCATTCAAAGGTGGCAGCATCGTAGTATGGGTTGGAATTTCAATGGGATATCAAACCTAGCTGCACATCTTTAAAGATGGTTCTTAGATGGGTGTGCAGCAGAGGGATGACATTCCATCATGAGACTCATCATGTGCAGCAGTTGATCCTGATTTTGTCCTTGTATGATAATGCTTACCCCTCTCAGCCAAAATCATTAATGAGTACCTGGAGAGTGGTGGCATTTCTCATATGGAGTTGCATCACATTCACGAGCTCAAACCAATTGAAAATCTTTGGGATGGCCTCGGCATGCTGTCTCTGCATGTTTATCTCTTACAGTCAGTCTCAGATAACTGAAAAGTGCCCTAATGGGGAAGTGGGCATTGCCAGCACCTGCAATGGTTGATCACATCACTAAAAGTATGGGTAATTGCTATAAAGTTTGTGTCAAGGTTCAGGATAGTAGCATGCCTTATTAATACAAGTTTTGTTTGCTTGTTTTCAGCTTTGAATATTAATTTGTTAATGACCCAAGTGTGATGTAATCATAAAGTTTACAAAAATTAAATATTTTCATTTTTGCATATAATGCTTATTTCCTTTTACACATAAACAAA